GTCCACTGCAACTAGATTGCACTGGATGGCTGTTTAAATCCATCCCCATACATGTAGGTGGGTGTAGGCCACGGAGACAAGTTTAACCGTGACCTTGCCTTGGTTCATGTTCAAGTGGAAAACTCAAGCTTCACAATACCTTAAGGTATTAATTGCTAACAAACGTTACAGATTCTAGACCAAAATAAGTTTGTAGCTAAAAAGAATGTAGTCTACATGTCTTTTAGCAGTTTTATCTCTGAGTCTGTTGTTCTATAGACACGAATGCGTATAATTATTTACAGAAGTTTCAATGTAAATATATTCTGTCTACAGTCAGTATTTGAAGGGTTTTTAATTACATACTTTATTGTTTTTTCTTTCATTTCTGAATGATATGCAGCTGTCAATGAATCACAGTATGTGCTGACTGGTTGCTTCTTTCATTATATTTTCGGTTCGCAACATTTAAGGTCTAGTTCAACGAGAATGTATTAAGTGGATAGAAAATTGCTTTTTACATTATTATGTGGCCATTTACATCTGCAGTAGGATTCCGGACGGAAATGGAAATGTTTCACATACATTTTGTATGTGGTTCTGTCAGAAATGACAACCTTTCCTTCCGCGTCAAATCACGAGAGGGAGAACGCACCTGCAAACGAGAGAAAGGAGAGGCACAAAGCCACTGCGAGAAAGGAGAGGCACAAAGCGAGCCCTGGGGAGCATTCGGTGCTGGGGCTGCAAGCCTGGGCTGGCTGAATTCGGGGAGGGGTGTTGCTTTTGACCACACCTGAGTGAGGCTTGTGCTTCCTATGGATTGGTAAAACTTAGGGCTGTACAGTCTGAAGAAAAAAGGAAGTGAAACCCCTTGGCTTTAATATATATATATATATAAAATTTATGTAAGTTATTATATTCTCTGAATCAGATGCAGATAACGTTCCTGTCTCAGTATGAGATAATCATGTTTATTCAAGAAACTGATTCACTGAACCATTTAACTTTAGGAAACATTGGGTATTTTCATTGTTCTCTTGCCGCCTAATTCTCCCAGGAGAAAAGAGAAAGAACTTCTGCGTCAGTGGCATTTAAAGGGTGCTAGGTAGTCATTTGGCCACTAACTTGATTTTCTGTCTTCAAATTTCGTAGTGGCTTCAGCAAGCTTGCTTCATGTGTTCTCTGAAGCTGCCACGGTTTTACTAGTCCTTTTGAGTGCAGAACAGAACAGTAAAACAGAAGATTGAGGGGAGGGGAATAAAACTGAAGCTGTACCAAATCAGATGGGAGTAACGTGCCCTACGAAATACAGATACTTCTTCTTTACCTGTGAGTCATGAGCCGGGGAGACGAAGCAGTGTCTGCACTTTAAGTATAAAGGCAGCAGAGACTACATGGCCAAATAGTAACAGCGTGATGAGCAGGTCCAGCAAACGCATTTCACCCAATTATCTAAGCAACTTAAAACCATTTGCAAAAATGCATCATGTGTTTGTACATGGAGCACAACTGCTGTGCTCTGCTAGGAGGGGCCAGCAGCACTGTTGTCTCTGAAACAAAGGCACTCGGTTTCTTGTTCCCTCTGTCCTTCAGGTGACCTTGAAAGTACCATCTGTTGGTACTTGCCCTTTCTGAAGGAAGAACAAGCTTGTTTAGGTCTGTAATTGGCTCTGGGAAAACTTGCAGCATGACTAAGGTATTCAGGGAAGCAGAATCTAGAGTCACCCTCCCCAGCCCTGCTTTCTTGCCTCGTGCTCCAGAGCTCCTTTGGCTGGAGAGAGACCTTGGCCTTTGTGAAATATGCACAAAAGGTTTTCAGTAGCAGTTCATACTGGGTGGCATGAACCCAGTGTGATGGCTGGGACGGACAACTTACTTATACTTAAACTCACATATAAACTCTCTTTATAAACTATAGATGTATAACATATATCCATATCTTAGTGCAGTATTTGGCCGCAGTGTTACTAATACTTATTAGCAGCCTGGTAGGACCACCATTTTAAAATTCCAGACTGGATTGTGAAGAACTGGTTATCGTTTTGAGGACAGTTGTTAAACATTTTTCTCTCAGTTCCTGCCTACACTTCAGTAACTGAGGAGCTAAAATATGTATTTATCACAGTGCAATTAAACCTCCAGAATCAGGAGGGGTGACAGAGATCCCAATGGGTAAAAGTGATTTTCACAAGTCTTTTGTTCGAAAAAAAACTCATACCATTTTATGATGTTGAAGTAGAAAGAGATGAGAACAAGGTTTCCTCGAGTCTTCACCGAGACTCCAGGAGCACCTGGTTAGACTGGGCTGCACGCTGCCAGTGGCTGGTGAAACCTCTCACGCTTTGCTTTGTGCCTTCTAAACACATTTATTTAAACGAGCACTGTTTTCTTCTGTATCACCACAGTTGATACACCTTTCTTTTAAATTCATAATCCTGTCTTTATTTTCCAAATCTTTGTTTGCTTGAATGTGCTGTTACTAAAAATTCAGTTCCTGGTATTTTTTGGTATACCGTCTACCATTCTGCAGATAAATTTTTTTCCACTCTTGCACAAGATTTGGAATTGGTAAATACTTGGATTAACGAACGTGTCCCATAATGACTTGTAATGGGCCTGAGGATTTATTCTTCCATTCTATATTTTAAGTTAAAACTCATGAGTCAGCGTGGAGACAGAAAATCTGTCACAACCTTAAGCTATCCACTTACATAGATTCTGCATTGAATTGACCCTCAGTGTTGAATTTCTTTGATTGTAATAATTCTTGTTTGGTTTTTACATATTAATATTTTCCCTCCTACATGAGTTTCTTCCCATTGTGAAATTTTATGCATTTTTCAGACTACATTTTTTTAAAGCACTTCACATTTGTATTTAAATGTTGGGGGTTTTTTGCTTCTTTTGATTCATTATGTTTATGCATTACATATGGAAAATAATATTTTCATTCTATTATCAGGGGGGTTGTTTCTTTTTAACAGTTTTACACAGTTTATAGTCAAAATAAAAGTTTGCTGGTGAAAGGACAGTTTGTCATTACCACTAATGTTTTATTTGTTGGGCCATGTAAGGAGTACTTTTGAGGACTATGCCCTAAATCAGTAAAAACTGACCTAATTCTGAAACTTCAGAGAACACCTTTATGTGTGAACAAGCTAATCACCTTGTATGCAGCTGTCTGGATTCATTTCTTAACAACGAAATTCTTTGCACTCCCCTGTTCTGATGAATCCTTGTACTATTGACGGAGGAGGTGTGGGTTATGAGAGTTTGGCCAAACTGGAGGTGCAGGAAAATGATTCTGTCTCAAGCTTTGCCCGGAGTCTCGGGGAGGGATGGCACACTTCGTTATGCCTATGGTCTTCTCCCATCTTTTTCCTGAAATCTCACCCGCTGCTGCTTCTGTAGTACTAAACAGACAGCAATAGACACTCATAGGTAAGACTTGTAAAGATTCAACCTATTTATAGTTTATCATTTAAAACACCAAGCTGCGCAAGGGTCATAAAGAGATTATCAAAATTAATCCCATTTAGCTTGTTCTCAAAAGTCTCAAATAAATGTACAAATACACTTTCTTTCAGAAGGCAGCTTTATCAGACTTTTCTCTCCAAAGTGATCTCTATTTAGGCATTTTCTGTCAACACGGGAGGTGCCAAAGAAGCAGCAATTTGATGCAGCCAGAGTGCCAGGTTTGGTTTGGGGAAGGCTTATCTATTGTTTTTCATCAGTAATTCCTTTTGGCACAGGTATTATACCAGTACCTTTCCCTTTAGTGTTGTCTTATCCATTACATACAAAACACATAGCTCAAACGGTCGTGTTATTTCTTTACATTATCACATGGCGTACGAGTCAGCTATTTTGAACATAAACAGACAATTAATGGCTAGGAAAAAAAAAAAAAAAAAATCAGTGCTTAAAGCAAGTGTGCCAAAGTTTGTATTTGAAAATTTGGGTGACTAATAGCAAAATGAAAGGAAACATCAGAGGATGGCTTCATTGCTGTCTTTGAGAGAGAATACACTTCAGAGAAGGTAAAGTCAAAACCACAAATAGTTTAATTTTTACGGAGAGAAACAAAACATCCACATTGCACATTTCCCTCTAAAAAGTGAGTTTGTCTAAAAAAAGGCAACTTGGGATGGCTTAATGGCAGTGTTCTAGCTGATCTGTTTGTCAGTATTGAATGTAACCATACATCAAGAACATACAGGGGGTTAAAACATTATTTATTTGGGTTTTTGCACAACCACAGATGTTACTTCAGAATCTGTAATCTCTACTAGAAAACTTTTATATTTGTAGGATTTAAAATTCCCTTGACAGCGGCTACCGGCCTTTGATTATAATTTCACATAGAAGGAGGCAAGCTGGGATAGGCCTCATATGAAATCAGAAATGCAACACAAATTGGAGTGGAAAATGAAGAGGTTATTCCATGTGGCTTATTCATGAGAACCCAGTGATCACACCTTTACTGAGATTTACAGCGTAAAAGGTGTCAGGGGTGGCAGGTTTTCATAAGAACAGCTTCCCAGCTGTGTTTCTGCAACTGAATTGAAGAGCTGAAGGAGGCTTAGCATATCCTGTACAGCACGTATGTACAATGAGACTGTGCATGAAGAGATGTAATTTGCTCGGGAGTGCTCTGGAATTTATTTTATAAGCATAAAAGAATAGCTACAACTGAAGTAAATAAACTGTTCCTTTTTTATTTGATGGCTGAAGACATGTTATTTCACTGTACATCCCACGTAGGAATTAAGTAGGGGAGGAGGAGAAATCACAGAAACTCTTTATTTAAAAAAAAAAAAAAAAAACAAACAACAACAACGAAAACCAAACAGACAAGTGCCTTTTTTTATTCCCCGAAAGGGAGAAAGAGCCAGAAGGCATCACCTGTGTATTTCTGTAAGCACCATTGTTCCAGGTTGTGTTGCTAAGTAAACCTTTAGAAAAAATGTACAACCACTGTGTTAAAAATACCTTTGTGGAAAGGTTTTGCCTTGTTTGTATTTCTCCTTCATTCCTTATTTTTTCCTCAGCTGCCTGTGCAGGAAGTAAATCGATGCCGACGCTTCATGGCACTCGCGCTGCCCATTCACGGCCCTTTCATGTTCTTCTCAGCTCTCTGGCCAGCCTCCATTCTGCAAGACGAGGGCTCGCAGTACCCAGGAGGGCCGGGAGGGCCGGGAGGGCCGGGAACCCCAGGCTGACCGGCCACCCCAGGGAGACCTCGTTCACCATCGCGGCCCTCTCTGCCGTAGCTGGGTTTGCCTGGTTCACCTGGAAAAGAGGGTGCCGGTTAAAAATGGGCAGCACATGACTTCCTTCGTGTACATGTAGCTTTACTGAAGATCCTGTTCTTAAAAACTGTATGAAGACGGCTTTTTACTGCTCTGAGTGAGTTCTCCAGAGAGGTGCCTGCTTAGAGGGACAGCTCTCCCCTAATAGACAACCAGGCTGTGTTTGCACATCTACAGCAATGACATTCCAGTCCCAGTCCTCTCCAGTTATACTGGTGCAGATCTGCTGCTATGAAAAACTATGCAGTGTAACCGATTGCAGCACTGCAGACAACCTTGTTGGCGATGCTACTCACTGCTTCAGAGTTATGTTAGGGCTCTGGAAAGAGACAGAGCAACAATTTATTTTTATTCTCCGCTCAGATGTGTTAGGGAAATAGATGTAGAGAGTGGAACTGCGGAGCACTAAAGTATCTCTTCACTTCTAAATCTTTAATGAAGAGATGAAATACAGTGATTGTAGTAAGCTTCTTCCAATGACACATTTCTAAAGATGACAACTCTGATTTTCACAGACATCCTAGGTATTGGTATAAACTAAACTGATTTTTTTTTTTCCTTTTTACAAAGTCTATACACACACACACACACACACACATACACACGCACACAGAAACTGTAGAGAGATATTGATGGGAATAACGTTTGTTTTCATTCACTGGCCACTAGAGGCCAGTTGTGCTGCATTTATCAGCAAAAATCTGTCCTGGACCCCTATTACATAACACTGCAATGAATTACCCCAAAAATAAAGGGGAATTGTACTTGGAATGTCCTAAATTATAGAGATTTTGAACACTGCTGTGGCTGCCAGAGAGATAATAAGAGTTTTGTGGCCTTTTGGTTATTGTTTATTATATATATATGCATATAAAAATATATATTTATACAGAAAGAGGCCATTTATATGTATGTGTGTGTGTGTGTGTATATGTGTGTGTGATTGCCTCTGGTTTTTTAATGCTTTGTATACATTTTTCCTAATCTTTCTAGACTGAGATAAAGGGGGTAGTATCTCTTTAGCAAAAGAGCTTTTAGTTCTGATTTGTGACTGTATCACTACCTATGAAGTAAAAATTATGAAGTTCTGTTATTTAGATGTTTATTGCTTAATGAACACTCTAAAAATCTTTTCAAGGCAGCTTGATGTACCAGTTCTGAATAAACTTTTACTACAGGTCTTCTTTATCCTCACCCTCTTATATTTACCTGGAAGACCTCTTGGTCCAGGGTGACCTTTCAGACCTCTGCCTGGAAATCCTCTTTCTCCTCTTTCTCCTGGTTCACCTAAAGCAAATTGATAAAACATTAGTTACAGCCTGTTTGGAGTATTACTTTCAGTAAGTTCCCTCTCAGAGGTGAATGGTTAATAAGCAGAGAATTCAGGCAGCTGTATATATTTTTAGCGTCTTTGAACGACATCCTGACACATCTCTTTGTAACATGTTCAGAATCTGTTTGGGGTTTTTTTTCCCCATTTGAGTTATCCTCAGAAGCAGACATGTGGGAGGGATAAAAAAACCACCCCACACCTGGAGCTGGACAGCAAGTTACCACTTGAAATATGCCATGGCTTATATAACAGAAATAAACCAAACTGGCAGAACTACACAGGCTCTTTTGGAATACAGACCGAGGTTACTGGCTGAGGGCTTTTGCAAGACCATGTGAACTCAGCTAAGAAGTACAAATTCACAAGTGCTGGTCCTTGAGACAGCTGAAGCAGAGAAGAAAACAAAAGCTGGCCAGCACAGATTACAGCATTCTGTTGACATCCATGTAAGATGTTCATAAATGTAAAATAAAGAACTTAGTTCTCATATACTGGTATTACAGAGACTTTTCTTTGGTGGGCACCCAGCTTTTCTTCAAACCCATATGTTGCTCCAAACAAGAAGCATCTTACTATGAGGAAGCAGGTTTTTTTGGTTCAGTCGTAAAATTCAAGTTCTATTCGCTGTATATGTTCCATAAAAGTACATACACATCGCACCACTCGTGAATACCCTATGTAAACCCTTGATATTTTAATGGGTTTTTTTTGCTGCAACTCAGAAGTCACAAGTACATGCCTAATAATTGAGCAAGTCTTATTTTATACTTCCATACTTTCTTGTACTGCAGCGAGGAAAGTTAGAATAGGCTGTTAAGTTCATGGCCTGCCTAGAACTAGCACGGCAGAAAACAAGGAACACAAGACTCAGTTCAAAAGTCCAAGTTTCAATAAAAGATGCACAGAGGGTACTAGAGGAGGAATCATCTCTACGCTTCAGACTGCCTAGTCATCACGGAGTTTCGGCCTGGCTGTGTAAACGCACCTACTGGAAGCGCCGATGTCAGGTTACCTGTATAAACTTCTGCTATTTGCAGCTACTGAACACTGTGGAATAGTGCTTACTGCTGGTTATCCCAAACTTCTTCAACTTCTTTCTGTTTCTGCCCTCCTTCAGTACCTCAGACTGCTCATTTAAGTCACTATAATCTCCTTCCTTGAGCCACCTCTTTCTGGCTCCTTTGTTGTTGATGCTGTTAAAAATCACTGCACTTTCATATCTTCAGCTCTATCTCATGGTAACACTTTCTTGTGTTTCTGTCTCCTCTTCATCACGACCTTCTAAACCATTCTCAACATCCTCCTCCTTTTCCCTTTTATCACATGTCCTAGGTACACTTTTCCTCTCGCCCCAATCTCAGACAACTCCCCCAATGGATGGGGGAAGTCAATTCATCTCTGTGACCTCTGTGGCACTCTGGTAACTACCAGGAATTCAGAGTGAAGCACTGAGATTTTTTTCAGGTTGACTGCGCTGTACTACCATGCTAGCTCTTGCACATGAGAGCGTTCACCACTTCTCCTGTACCTGTAATTGTATTTCAACGTTTACTGTAAGGTAACTTGGAATCTGATGGCAGTTATAACAGGAAACAAAGCATCTTGCTTGTTTGGGAGCTTTTGATGCTCTGTAGATTTATTTTATTTTAATATTAACACAGTGCTGCCTGCTGTGCACTGAGTCAGATTCAACATATCTGATCACCTTTGTATCTCCATTTTTGGTTGCTTCTGCGCATACAGATGACATTACATTAAATGAAAACAGTAACAGAGCTCCAGCAACAATGCTGTTCAGGTTTGTTTTGTTTGTATTCTATTCCTTCCCAAAGGTTTTCCTGATTTTACTTTCAAATAAAGCTTGAGACAAACATAAATGCTCTAATCCAGCAACAGACCAGCTTTGTGCAGAAATACAATTTTTAAATAAAACCTTCCTTCAAGAAAACAAATCGAAATCACTGCTGAATCGAAGCTAATACATACATAGTGGTCATAAGACTTTGCAGAAAACTCTACTGTATAATCCTCTGGAGGAGTATAAAGCCTCTCAGTCAGGAACAAAAGAGATTAACTGAGATCAACGATTTTTGTAAAGTGTAAGGTAAGTCAATTTTATTATGGATTTGTCCTTTCCAAAGAATCAATAGGTTGTAGCACATGGTGCGAGGATGTCAAATGGCTCAAGCATTACACCCAAATAAGAGACAGATTGTTATAAGTCACTTGTAACGGAAGAAGCTGCATACGCTTAGAGAAGCAAGCTAGAGATGGGCAAATGAATGTGCCGGTTCTCATTTAGCTTTTGGGACCACAAGTCCTGCAGAAGTGAGGTCCACAACCAGACTGAGTGGAAGAAAGAATCGCTGCTGGAACTTTTTATCCTACGACACACAAAAACCTCAAAAGTCCATGACAGTAGGAATCTGACTCAGCTGCTTACTTCTAGTTCAAGGCAGATGCCTGTCCTTTCTTATATTGTGTAAGTGATTTGACTACAAAAAAAATGTATTTATAAACAAGTCTTGCTGAGGCCACACCAATGTGCCCTTTAATCACTGGGGCAAATGAAGCAACAGTTTCAGAAAACAGCTCAGATTCCAAATTCAAGACCTTTTTGGACTTCACGGGTGTACAATGTACTTTCATAACCTCTAATCCAAAGGAAACAAACAAACAAAAAACCAACCAAACAAAAAACCCCACCAAAAATCTGGAGCAGTGAACAACTGAAAGCCAGTCACAGAATTTCTTACCTTTAGGACCTTTACGACCAATGTCACCAGGGGGACCTTTAAGGCCTGGCAAGCCACGGGGTCCGAGCTGTCCCGGGAAGCCATTTTCACCAGCAGGCCCTGGAGCACCTGGTGGCCCTGGTCTGCCAGGAAGCCCTGGAGCACCAAATTCTGGCCTCTTAAGACTGGCTGCCAGCTGAGCTAGTTGTTCTGCAATGAACAGGAGGTCAGAATTAGGCAGTAGGTAGACTTAATGGAGAGATTCCCATGTCCTCTGAAGAACAGGTATTCTCTGCTACAGAAACCGACAGATTACAGTACAGCACCTTCCTTATGTACACGCTATTCACAAAGTTTGTTACACAGAAGATATTATCTTAGTACTACCAGTGGCAAACTGCATAGGCACGCTGTGAAGCTGCTCACTCTGAAGCCTACGTCTTAAAAATTCAGTTTGCAGGCTGAAATGATTCAAATGTATATGGTTTATTTAGAAATGTCCTTCTAATTTTCTATGTAATTTAAATTTCAAACATCCAGTGAGAAAACTTACTCATGCAATTGCTGCCTCTTAAAAGAGCAAATATCTCTCTTCATTACTACTTGTTAATCCTGTCAAGACCCGTCTTTGCAAGGAGGAACAGCTGAAAAAACATGAGGACAGCCATCTATGTTGGCCTGGTAAGTGCAGGCCTTCTTTCTCGAAGGAAAGAAACCCTCAAATTTGGGCTCATGAGCTCAAATTTGGTAAGTAATTGAACATTTTATGTTGATCTTAAGATAAATCAGCAGGACCTTTGCTCTTCATGAGGCATAGGATCAGCATGCCATTCCTCAGAATGGTCTAAGCTAGCTATGTCCTTTTCCTCCTCCCCCTTTCAGGCCACTGCTGTTAACAGCATGAGAGCAGTCCTCTCTTTCCTTAACATTGCTGTTCTAGACTTCAAACCCATCTTCCAAGCATGCCTTAGAAATAACTTTCTCTGGATACAGCCACACAAAACTCCATAGACATTTGCTATAATGTCTGCATGACTTGGCAAGACTAGTTATTCTGTGTCCACAGCCAAGCAATACTAAGAAGATGAGGGGGGGTGGGGTGTGTGGTGTAGGATCCAAAATCAAATAGGAGCTACAATAGCCAGTACATATATGAAGAAGACTGGGGAGAGAACTCTGTGGGCAAAGCCTACGGAGGAGCCTACTGAGGAGCTGAACTTCAGTTACAGTTCTCTTTAAGTTGATAAGGTTCCAGGGACCCACGTGGATTGATTTTATTATCTTTTTTTTTTTTTTTGAACATGACAGCATTGACAATTATAGGGGCTCTCAAGAGAAATGCAGTGAAGACAGTCTAGATCTTTCCCCTACCCTTCTCTTACTGCTGAGTCTGAGGGTTATGAATAATTCAAGCATCATACCTGATTTCACTATAATCCTCCTCAATATTACTGTGTCTTTCAAGAGATCACTTTAAAAGGACATTTTATGCTATTTACAGAAAGGTTTTTTTTTAAAAAATAGCCTGTTGGCCAGTATCAAGAACAGCGATGACTACTGAGAATTTTTAGATAAAATCACGAGCAGCAACTTCATTCTGGTAAACCATTAACATTACAAAGCCATACTATCCTGAAGGGAATCTTAAATAGCAAGTACTGAAAAGTCTCTTTTATGCTTACAGGGCAGCATAAATTTTTAAACTCAGTAAATCCCATGCACCCATACCAGGCACGTATTTATCAGAAAAGCTCCAGATTCTTGTGTGTGTCGAGAAGAACTAAGCAAATATAATTAGGGTTTGGAATATCTGCCTATTGCTTTCATTCTGTGGTATGTTATCTCCAGAAAGCCTCTCTCTGCACTCCTCTTTTTTTTTTTTTTACCTAATTTGCATATAGTTTGTTTGCTGTAATCTCATAGTGTACAAGTACAAATTGCAAAACAAGCTTTCAGAGAAGCTGTGTACTTCTGAATATGTAAACATAGGAAGTAATTTGTACACAAAATACATGTATTTCATAAAAAACACTCAAGTCTGTGGCCTGGTTACTACAGTAATGCTGTGGAATCAACAGGTAGTTCAACGAGGCTGCAAAGTATATATAAGGGACTTCTTGCTCATATTCTCTCATATTGTGTCCACATTCACATGTGGGAAGATTTTTCTGCCAGGTCCCCTGCTGAGGCCACACTATTCGGTCTGGATAAGAGTGGGAAAATCTTGGTTGCCTCCACAGCAGTAGATTATCCTGATTTAGATGCACAAGAAACATCAAATACTTTTTAGCACATTTACCTTGCATGACTCTCATGCAAACCTGCTTAATGTGCTGATCAGTTGGTTCTTTTCCCTAGGATTAAAAAAAAAAAAAAAAAGTTTAAAAAAAGCAGTTGATATCGCACTACATTTTATAAGTGTGCCTGATGCAAAAAAATGCTGGCTGGTTGTCATAGTTTAACCCATGCCAGCAACTAAGCACCACACAGCCACTCACTCACTGTCCCCTCGGTGGGACAGGGGAGAGAACTGGAAGGGTAAAAGTGAGAAAACTCAAGGGTTGAGACAAACACAGTTTAATAAATAAAAAGAAATAATAATAGTGATAATAATGATAATAAATTGTAAGGAAAAGAAGAAAAAATAACACAGAGAGAAAAAGAAAACCCAAGACAGACAAGTGATGCAAATGAAAATTGCTCATCACCAACTGATGGATGCCCAGCCAGTCCCCAAGCAGCAGCCCCCCTGCCAACCTCCACCCTGGTTGTACTGCTGAGCAGGATGTCATACGGTATGGGATATCCCTTCGGTCAGTTGGGGTCAGCTGTCCCAGCTGCGTCCCCTCCCTACTGTTTGTGCACCTCCAACCTACTCACTGGCAGGGCAGTGTGAGGAGCAGAAAAGGCCTTGACGCTATGTAAGCGCTGCTCAGCAGTAGCTAAAACATCCCAGCGTCATCAACACTGTTTTCAGGAAAAATCCGAAACACAGCCCCATACTAGCTGCTATGAAGAAAATTAACTCCATCCCAGCTAAATCAGGACAGCAGTCAATAAAAGCTGTCCCAGTTCCTGCAAGTGCAACTATTCCAGCCAAAGTCAAATTGACTAGCAAGGTTGACAGTATGTGTGATACACCCGCGTATCAAACATGGTTTCCTGCGCACTACAGGCGTGGGGTGGGCATAAGAAAACGGAACTGAACTGAAAGCTGAGGACCCAAGGATCTAACTGTCTACAACCCTAAGAATTCACTAGTGTACAAATGTGTCTTTTGTGAGGTACAGCGTATTTTAAAATCTACTGTGGCACTTGGGTTTTACATGCATATGCATGTCCTGATGCAAAAAAAAAAAAGAGTGGTGTGAGTGACAGCTAAGTGTTCAAAAGATGCCAGTTGCATGAAAACAGTACTCACAGCTGGACCTTGGCTGCCAGGCAGACCTGGGGCACCCTGTTCACCCTGCAAGCCTCGTGGTCCAGGTGAGCCTCGTGGCCCTTCCATGCCAGGCAGTCCTCGACTTCCCTCAGGCCCACGGGAACCAGGATCTCCAGGATTACCAACCTGACAATGAAAGAGAGGAATTTCAATGGCCTGCTATACTGCTGTTAGTCTTATTCTGACATACCCAAATGGTGACAGGAGATATTTTCAAATGCAAAGTGATGAATGCTGGGATGTAGAGTTGCTGAACATCTTCTTTTTAAACAAGCAACTGGCATCAGCTGTTGTGCAATTTATAAACTTAAAAAGAGGTCTGTATTCCTCACTTAAAGGGGAGAAGTGGATAAAAAGAAGATATTGCATCAAAAGAGGCAAATTGGCATCCATAGTGACATGCACAAGACATTGGGTTTTTGTCAAGGAACAGATCTCCTGTACTTGGATTTCTACTTTTGCCCTTGTGCATGTCACATGCAACTTTTCCAGACATTAGGTGCTCCTTAAGTTACAAGAATTCCAGCTCCTTACTTGCTCCAAATGCCTTTCATGCCCTTTTGTAGTGAGTACCACGGTATGAGCCTGTATCAGCTAGCTCCAGGCCACTTGGGAACACACACTTTTGCTTTGTTTACATCTGTCAGAGCCAGCGCTCACGGCGCACAGGTTCTAGTGCCTCTGCTTGAGTTTGCTGGCATAGAGGAGGGAACAGCCTCACACCAACTGTTGTCGATAAACTGCCTGAATAGATGCAATGCCAGCTTATTTCACTCAGGGAAGGGGTAGAAAGAGCTGTTCTACTGGTATAAGCATCCTGACCCCTGGGGAATGAAAGGACTGATATGGCTACATCCATGTGTCCACTTAAGCATATTTGGTAAACAAAGGTACAGCTTCTGCTCCAGAAAATTTTCTAGAAGTGATTAAATATCATGCAGAGTGAGACCCATGCCAACAGGCACCTCTGAGTTACCTTCAATACAAGTTATTTTACTACTATTAATCAACAGTAGTACTAACAAAGAAAAAGAATACCCCAAACAAACCCAAAAAACCACAACAAAAACCTAAACAAGCAGAAAAAAAAAAAATCCTACATACTTACGGCTTCCCCAATCTACTGGGGGAAAAAAAAAAAAAAAAAAAAAAAAAAAGACACCCGCTGAAAGAGATGCTCAAGAACAAATTACTCAACTGCGTTATCAGTTAAGTCCACAAGATGGAGCCATTTCAGTTCCATCTATGCTGCACCTCAGCCAGTTAATTGCTGTCCCTGTCACAAGAACACCCAAAGAATATGCTTCCACAGACATACTAAGAAGACAGCAAAATTCTCTTCGTGGACTATACAACCAGGAAGTCTTCATTCCTTTCTTGCCCAGCTTGGTGAGCTATCAGGCTCCCTGATGGATGACTCATCCCTGTGTGTGTACTCACGAGGATGACAAGCACTCTACTGTCTCATCAAGAGAAGAGGATTTTAAAAATCTAGGAGGATAAAACTACAGATTTCTCCTCTATCCCTTCCTCGTGTCCTTCTTGTAAGATCTTGATCAGCAGTAAATACTAGCTTGTGGTGACTTAGCCCCAAAGTCACACAGGTCATTGAGAACACAAGCATAGTTTTTTTTGTTATGGTCAGCCTCAGTTCCCTGTAGGCAGAACTGTTGGTATGTTAGTGTCACAGCCCAGACTGTCAGCTGCTCCTCAGCGATCCTGAAACAAAAGAATGTGTTCAGCTCTCAAATTCTTTTTTCTTATGTGTCATACAAGCTTCTGCTCACCTTCCACATCAAAGCTACCATTTTGTTATTTCTAAAAAAAAAAAAAAAAAAAAAAACATATTGAGTCTGGTCCATAAATACTTCTGCTTTCACAGACATCACAGTCCTGCTGGCAGCTTTTTCACAGTGTAAAGATCACAGGCTGCATGCAGCCACTGCACTGAGCCTCCTTTCTATGCAACACCTACTGTACAAAGAGTGCATTCACTTCCTTAAAAAAAAAATTAGTTGGCCAGAAAACTGCTGCTGAATGATGCTTCTCTTTTATGGAGCTTAGAATTCAGGATGTGAATTCCTTTCCAAAGCTCATTCATTTTAATATTACCTGTATCCAAAATTTAAACAGAAGAAAAGTTGTTGAAACTCATTCAATTTACCTGTGATAAAGAGCTCAGCTCATTATTTGTATTTTCTTTCTCTAAATCAGAAAACCATCTATATCCGGTCTACTAGACCTTGGTATTTCTGTGACAGTGCTATTCATTATACTTACAGCTCCCTTTGCTCCTGGTAATCCCATATCACCCTATGCAAAAGTAAGACAAGCTATATTAGAAGAGAGTATCCATTATCATAGACATCACAAATGCAGTAAACTTGACATGATTGTTTTCACTATAAAAAAAAGTTTACATATTTAGTTGATTTATGCAAAATTGCACCTCAAATGAATTACAATTCATTTGGAAATAGAACTTGAACTTCAGAAATTTTTTTGTAAAATTCCTTTCTCAAAAACATCTCTGTAAATTGCAAATAAGAAAGCACGTTTAATTATAATTGGGTTTGTATTGCTTATCTTAGAATTAGACACGGCTCCAACCTCTCAAACCACAGTTACAGCACAGGACAATCTTAGACAGTAGTTTGCTTGGAAACCTTTAGGGGAAGCATTATTTAATCAGGATTTTCTAGTTTGACAGAATTACGGATATTTTACTGTGTTGTGTTAGCCCTGACAAAACTGCAACAGAAATGACGCAAGTATCTGATCGGGGGGCTGGAGCACCTCCCCTGTAAGGACAGGCTGAGAGAGTTGGGCTTGTTCAACCTGGAGAAGAGAAGGCTCTGGGCAGGCCCTCTAGCAGCATTCCAGTACTTCAAGGGGGCCTACTGGAAAGGTGGGGGCAATCTTTTTAGCAGGACCTGCTGCGATAGGACAAGGAGTAACAGTTTTTAAACTAAAAGAGGGCAGATTTAGACTGGATATAAGGAAGAATTTTTTTTACAATGAGGGTGGTGAAACCCTGGAACAGGCTGTCCAGAGAGGTGGCAGAAGCCCCATCCTGGAAACATTGCAGGTCAGGTTGGACGGGGCTCTGAGCAGCCTGATCCAGCCAAAGATGTCCCTGCTCACTGTAGGGGCTTGGTCTAGATGGCCTCTAAAGGTCCCTTCCAAACCAAACTATTCTATGATCTTCCCAACGTGCTGTGAAGAAGCCAAATCCCTAGAAGTTCCTGTTCCCGGCAACCTGGCTCCTGACTTGAACAACCCCAAGATCCCTCTATCACTTGACTGAGAAGGGCAGCCCCGCTACTCAGAAGTTTTTAGTTTGCCCTCTGAATTGGGAAGAAAAAAGTTTCAAAATCTTGTAATCACCTGTGAAATATAGGAGCTCCTCTTTGGTGTTTTCATATTACTCAGAGAGATTTCTGAAAATTCTATTTTCCCTGTTCCTAAATGTCATTGGTGAAGTAATTTGTTTCTAAAGGTCAGAAAGGCCACTTTGTTTGTTAATGAATATGCCATAAGTGAAATAGAAATAACAACTTTTATCGATTTAAAAACAGACTAACTAGCAGCACACTTAACACACAGAATTGCTTCCTGGGATTCTGTATAGTGATGGTAAAGCTGAATTACTGGACATCTAGCTCACTAGGGCTGTTAATTAACTTTAAAAGCCTTTCAGAATCACAGAGTGCAGGAAACAAGGGCTCATTTCCAGCACACAACTTGGCCATCGTGTTTTAAATAGGAAGCAGTTTACTTCCTCCTGAAAGATCAAGTTCTGTCTCTGCTGGATGGGGCCCCATAGGAGCCGCTGGACTAGTACATTTCTCTTTCTGTGGGGAAAAAAAAAAATCTTCTTTAACCAAGGGCACATGACCCAGGTATTACCCATGTGAATTCACAACATGCCGCACTCCTGCAGTACATGCACCTTGCTCCAGCAGTATCACAGTGCCACAGCCTCTTCCCAAACCATTCTCCCTCTCCCAAACAGCCAGTTGCTACATCTTATTTCCAAAGATAAAGACAATACAAAATATCTTCATCAAGTCTGAATTATTAAGGATATTTATTATCTGTGTTCCTGTTTCACCCAAATTAAACTACCTCCTCATCCTCACTGCATCAAACACCAAGAATTTATCTCTGTGTGTATGCATATATATATTTATACATAAACCCTTAGTGTATCTCTACATATGTATGTGTGTATATATATATATATATATACACACACACACAACCACACATACACCCCCTTCAAGGCAGCCTGTACTGTATTATACACCAAATAAAATATGCGTATTTCAGAGTGCTTTCAAAACAGCATGAATGGCGTGACCAGACTAATAGAACTGCTGTGCCCAGTTAGGATAAAACTTAAATGTGACTTTCAATAATCAAAACATACACTTGAAGCCCTCCAACAATACTTTAAAGTTTTAATTCACAACAACAAAATATTAGATGAGGTGAAAAGAAAATAATGCCTTACTAAGTCACCCTTTTCTCCTCCATCTCCTTCTGCTCCAGGTGCACCCTATATCAAAGAAGACATACTGTCAGCCTTCAGATTCAGTCAATGTAACGTAGTGCAACATTTGACAGTGTGACTTGAAAGTACCATGATCTCTAATGTGACTTACTTGTTCACCCTTAGGTCCTGGTTCACCCACTGAACCCTAAAAGGTTAAAGATTAAAAAAGAACTTCAGAATTTCAAACTGCAGGTTCAAAAACATATTAAATCATCCTCAATCCTCCATACCATCTAGCATTAATACAAGAGACCTTTAAAGCTGCAAATTTTTAAGAATGACAATGAAAGAACTTAAATCTTGCTATATAATTAAGGTGACGGACTGAAGGCAAGTAATAGCATGGAACACACAATCCACTGCCACACCAGACAGTACAGATTCTGACTCAAACAGGAGATCTTCCTTTTTATGGCAGATGCTCTTGCAACTGATACAACTCTACTCTGCTCTGCAAATTGTTTAGAAGTTACAAGTAAAAAAAAAAAAACAAAAAAAACAGCAAGTGTATTGCTTTTTCTAGCCCTGTCAAGTATTCCCTACTGCTACAGGCTGTACCAGCCCTGTCAACATGGGATAGGCATACTGAGACATCTACAAGTTCAGTCACAATCTTGCCTTGCTTGCTGTTTAATTCCCAGTGTTTTTTAGCAGAAGTATCTCTAGAATTTTGATCATTACAGTCAAAGCTGAATGGCTTGTATCTTAAAGTTGATAGTCCTTTTCAAAAAAAAAATAATATTACTATGTTTCATCTTAGAATTCTGTAACAAAGTGCACCTGTATGGACAGACAGGAACCAAGAAGGAACAAATTAATGATCTGATTCATTTCAAATATATGTAATTTGTTTCTATAGTAAAAGTATTTCATTTGTAGAACAGTGTATCACTTAAGAAAATCTTAGTATTTGTGTTCTGTTAGAAAAATCAATCACACCATGCTTAAATGTTCTTTGCAGTCTGTGCACACTCAAACACACATTTCAAAAGAACTATAACTATGCGTACAATTTTTTTTCTAAACCAGATGGAGATAGAGCATTTTCTCTCCCATTTCAGAGATCCATTTAATTCACATTAAGATACAGGCATACAAACCAGTGTAACATCTGTAGAATTCAGATTTGTTCTCATGTTTCTGAGGACAAAGAGCCAATACCATCCAAAGCTAAGCAGTGAAAATCACAGATTTATTTAACATTTTGACTTTAACAAACACTGAAATTATTTTGTCCAAAGTGTTCTCAAAATCATGCTTTATTAAGGTTTTCCAATTACTCACACAAAAAGACTCGATTTCCAACCTAACATCACTTTGGGGGTTCTTTTTGTCCATTAACTCTTCTTTAGAGCAACAAAACTGCCAATAGATAAGGCTGAGATGGGAGAAGCTTTTGCTTTTGTGAAACTTGACATGTAGTATTTGTATTCGCAAACATAAAAATCACAGCTGAAACTGTCTGAATCTACCCTAGATTAACTCCTAAAATTTCAATTGAGACAATAGGATAAGATGTCAAAATATGAAAAGTACCCACTTTTTTGACATACTGCTTATCTATTTGTAAAAATCCCTCTCAAGCCATGCCCAGGAACTGTTTGTGAAACTGCCAGTCAGCATCAGCCACAACTGTACCATGGCCTACGCTATTTAACAGTATAAAGGGTCGTATTCCATTGACATGGTCTGGGCCTTGGCCTGGTGCTGTTTAATTTACTAAAACAGACAAAACCAGAGTGTCTGAAACCAATTCAAAACATGTGAATCAGAAACAGCGTAAGTGGTGAATGCTGGGGTTTGGCCATTATCCATAACACATCTGCGTAACCACTCTGTAAGGTTCATTGAAGCATGATCCATTGTTGTAACATGGTTTTGTATTGCTGTCTCTGATGTAATACCTCAGGTGTGTGACGGGTGCACCCAGCTCCTTGACCAAACAAGTGGCAGTATGGCTTAGGCTCCAAAGGAGGTAAAGGCCTAGGCCATAACCAGGCCAAGAACTTCTCTACCTCGAACCCGTTCTCTGAAAACTCACAGAAGAACAGGGTGAAATGGTGAGCATTGATGCAAATGGGCTTAGAAACTGGAACACCAACCATGCAAGTAGCACATGAAAAGTGGGTGGCTCTTCCAAGATTCATTTGTCAAGGAACAAAGAAAGTTGTGGGTACAAGGAGTCTCATGCCTACCTCTTCCATCGCATGTAATTTGACTACAAGCAAACCATTTTATTCCATAAATACGACAGCCTAAGTGAGCCTTTTCCCTGCTAAGCAGTTGGTTGCACAGCAGTGATCTCCCCTTGACCTGGGACGTCTCTCAAGGCACTTCCTTGAGGCTGAGAGACACTTAACAACTGCAGATCTTGTAAGTGACCGATACTGCGTGTAACCTTGCAATATAGTGTGCTGAGATTTTGTATTGGTAACTTCAATTTCGTGTTGGTAACTTTGAATCCTTACTACCTCCTCTGCAGTAAGTAATAGAGTGAACCTTGCCATCAAACTCTGTTCAGTTTCACTTTTACAACATTGTATTTCAATGAAACTACTTTTGCTGACACCTTTTGTGGTGGTTCTTTAAGCAGTCAACATCGCCTGCATATGACAAAGTGCCAGCAGATAGTACCCAATATCTAATAGCTTTGGGATCAAGAATGACTATTGAAATAGGGGGGGGGTGTTGTGAATTCTACTTGGCTTCTGGTTGCTATTTACATCAATAGCTTATCACGCATATATGGGCTTCACAACAAAACTTTATAGGATCCTTGTGTACAAAACCACAAAGTTTTGAAATCAGGAAGGGAAGAAAGTTTAGTTCAGTCTGAAACTTACTGATAGAAGTGATTGGCTCAAAGACTAGGGTTTAACAGGCTACAGATACACCTGTTTCCAAACCCTGGCAAGGATGTTTTGCTCTGTGCAAGACAGATGCAGTTGCAAGTTGCGCAGAGTAAAGAAAGGAGAGTGGCACAATGCTCTCCAGGCTTGTGACTTGGAACACATACTGCAGGTCAGTGCTTCTGGAAAAGCTGCAGGCATGTTAAGCCTGCCCCAGAAAATTCACTCCAGCCTTTATACAGCTGAGGGAAAAAAAACATGGAACAACGATACTAGTGGACACTTGTCTTAAAACAGGAAAGCTAAAAAGCAATCACAGGATGAGCTAATTGCTGCCATAGCTTTTTGGACTTTAAGATATTCGCACAGGGCACTAAACTGACCCTAGGATTTAAAAAGAGCTCCAGGCATAAGATACTGTCGTCTGCCAGTTAAATAAATCAAAACCTCCTGGTTATAACCTGAATCAAACTGGGTCTGTTTACAGCATCTACATTCTGCTCTTATCCTAGAGGTCCAGGCCTTTTATACAGTAAACGAGGAAAACTGGGCATCTTTGGAGGGAGATTGTCAGCACGGCAACAAATACTAGATATTTTCCTTCCAGATGTGCTTCCTTAGGTACCTTCAATCTCCCCCTGGAGAAGTCTAAAGTATGAATCATTACCTATCTAATAAAAAGAGACTTCTTTATGTCAATACTTAGATGTGACTAGAAACAAAAGGTGCCTGATCTCAGCATTAAAAAAAAAACCACAAAAAACCACAAAAAAAACCAAAACACAACCAAAATTTGCAAAAATACCTCAAACAACAATAAAGACTTAGAAACTTATTTTTAAGTACCTGAGCAGGTTCTAAAAATTGTCAAAAAACCTGCAAGCCCTATCTAGCCACCGTACAACGTACACTGGGGGCATACCAGGGGCAGGATTCCTCTGTTCAACTAAAGACATCTACAGCAGTGATACTTATGACTGACTAACAGTCCTATATTCCCTTGATTGTCAGTGGAAAGTAAGAGGCACTTCACAAGTGCAATTCATTTAATACTGACGTAGATGCCTCAGTAAGAAGGACAAAACACAGTGTAGAACTGACTATTTAAAGATGTCTGAACTTTGGTGAGTGAATTCCATCCTCTGTAGTCTCCTGTAAGCAGAGGAGATAAGGAACATTTTGGGGGTTATATACTGTCTTCACTGACATTTATTCAGCAAAGCAAGATATCTTCTGCAGGTACGTGAGATCCCCAGGGCTCAGTCCTTCCCTCCTAACAAAATACTAGAAGAGGTACTTATGTCCTACAATTGTGTGTATATGCATAGGTGTTTCAGTAGCTGCATTAGCCTGTGCGTTTCCATAGCAGGTCCTAAGATGCATGTAAAAGGCATTGTATCTACTGTGGACTGGGGCTGAAGTTCCAAAGCTCTTTCACGACCAGAGACCCTGACTTGCAATTTCAGACCTGACTTGCAATTTCAGATCTGGCCGAGTCAACAATTTGCAATATAAATTAGGCCTTTAAATGATTCAAACTCCAAAAAAGGGAATTATTTATGCCAGTAATCTTATTTCAGTCTCTTAAGTAACACTGTCAAGACTTTTCCTGTATATTTTATGAACTACAAGTTATGGGCACCTAGAGCATTGCTTTCAAGCAGTTAACAGATCTACATACAAAACAACAAACCAGACATTAATTGATGCAAAAGCTGAAAACAATGCACAAACGACTTATATTCATCCTAACGACAAACTGCAGTCTGTATGTATGTGTGCATTTCTTACCCGGTCACCCTTACCACCAGGTAGGCCTGGAGGCCCTGGCAGTCCGGGAAGTCCAATATCACCCTGGGGACCCTGTGAAAATAAGTCAAGAATGTGAACTTACCCAATCTGGTTTAGAATGAACAAGTAAGGGTCATACCCTGACAAACAGATGGGGCAGAATCTTATTCCCAGGACAGTCCTAACTTGATAAAAGAGTATTATCTGATGAAAACAGAACCGATCCAAAATACAGCCCTTTAAATAGCATCTTATTATGATTTTATTGCTGACAAACACAACAGAAATGGCTTAGAGGGCTTTCCACTCTCCAGTCCCTCGACGGTCTGGTTCTCTTAAAAATGTTTCCTAAGATCTTGTACTCTGTGATACACACATTCCTCTGTAACAGCAGGCTCTTTCAGCCAAAACCTCCCCAGCTACGCTTCTGACTGTTACTGTGTAAATACTGCTGGAGCACCGGTAAAAGGTGGCATTCATCATCTGCGTCGTTCGTTAGCCTCACGTAGCTATTAGCAGAAAGCCAGTCTTTCACTGCTCCTGTTCCCCAGGCACATGCAGCCCACACAGGAGTGTGCAACTCAGCTTCACGCAGCATTTATGGGTTTTTTAAATAGAAGAAAAAGTCCCACACATCTCCATATTCTTTAAAAGAGCATTTTCTAATATTAGCACAGTCACAGAGGACTGAAAAAGAAACTCAATAATCAGTCATTTCAACGTTACTTTCAGTTCCGTGCACAGATAAAAGGCTAAGTGTAGTTCCAGATGATACCATAGCTCCCTGAAAGTAAACATCAGCACTGAATATGGAAATAAACTGCTTACCCATTTCCCTGGTAAACCCGGAGGACCGGCAGGACCTGGCTCCCCTCTGCTACCCTTATAGGAAATAGAAGAACATCTTTACTTCCTGAAATGTTTCTTGTGAACAGGGAATAAAGTACGATTTTTTTTTTCTTAATGTTTAATGAATCACACTATGTAGAGTTGGCTTTGATCAAGACTTCTGTTTATTAGTGCAAAAATATCACATGCATTAAAAACAGTGAAACTTCCTGAGAAATGTAAACATATTTAGTTACCATGGCATACAATATTTAGTTGGCATTAAATGATTCAAATAATTCATTCTGCTGAGTGATTATGCACAACCAAGTCCCCTTCATGGGATCACACCTGAGAGTTACCTGTCGTGAACGCATTCACTTCACTAAGACAACGCTGACACGCATGCTTAGCTTTAGGCTTTTGCTTAGTTTCATCAACTGAACTCCCACATGACCAGATATTTAAAAGCCCATGATCCCCCATGAACAACAGGCAAAGGTGAAAAGTGTGTGCAGAAGTCATGCTTAACAAACTCCTTTAGGTTAAAAAAAAAAAAAAAAAGAAAAAAAGAGAAGTCTAGACTGTTATAGGGAAGGGTAACCTGCAAAAATCCCTATCCATAATAGTGATAGGTATAAATATGCTTTTTACTGAATTTTTACTTTGTATATTCACTTCAGATATGTTTACCCATTCAGATCATGATATTCTCATCAGTGTTGTAACTCAATATCTTAATGTAGGCATTGAATATATACTCTGGGTAAACTTGACATTGAGTCAAATTTTCAAAGATTGTAAACAATTTTTGAACTAAACTACCTTTCTCAAAAGGGTTTTGTCTCATGATTACACCTTTCAGAACAGCTCAGTAAGTTTTATACATTTACTTTCACCTGTATAGATATACATCTGTACAGGTAAATTCAAACTGTCCCAGCACAAGCCAAAGTCTCACTTGAGATACTTTTCTCACTTCCACTGTGTGAATACATAAGGAGTACTTACTATAAAAGCATGATACAGCATTTAAGATCATAAAATATCAAGAATTTAAGTTATTAGATATGTAAATAGATAAAATTTCAGATAAAAGCCAATCTAAGCATTCTAGTGTTGTATACAATGGATAATTTTAAATATAGATATTTTCTTCATAATAAGAAAAATATTGTGACATATCAAACAATAAAAGGAGATGGCAGAAGTGGCCAGGTCATACATGCAATGACAACTTCTCACACTAGCTTAGCAAAACTAACTCTACAATTCAAGAAATAATTAGGTATCCTGGAGAGATCAGAGGACCAAACACAAACAGGCTTTTCCATTGATTTCCTTCAAAATATCCTACGATGTTAAAATCGCCCTTTTAAAGCACTTTGTATAATTTCTAGAAGCTTCCTTATGTAAAAAAAAAAAAAAAGAAAGAAAGAAAAAAGCCCAAGCCCCCCAAATTACCCTCATCTTACAACCCAGAAGATGAATTAATCTTTTTAAAAATCTGTTATTTAAACACATTACTCTGTACTACATCTCTGATCTGGAATACTACTACATTTCTGATGCAGGAAAGAAAAAGATTGAAATTATGATCAGTATTAGAAACTCATCTCCTTGTGTATGTCATAATGTTCACATCTGAATTGCTATACAGCTATAGAACAAAAGCAATGTCATGTTCCATAGAGTTAAAATCATATAATAAACCTCTTAAGCACATCAAAGGTTCTGCTGGTCATACAGAATGCAAGAAAATTCTTCCATTTTAAATGCAAAAAACCCTTTTGTCAAATATACACTCCAGGCACTTTTTCAAGCACCAATGCTTTTCTAAGGTAGTAAAAAAAAAAGGGTTGGTATACAGAAGACTGCCATACAAAAGGATAGTATTTCCCACAAACATTGACATTATGTAAGGACAGATTACTTCAAACTAAGGGCCACTGCTGCAATATCTGCAGGAGTTGTGTTTTAGCAAGGAAGAGGGGAACTGTAACCCAAAGAACAACCAGGAATCCCATCGGCCTATGGCATAACTTAAAAGACTGTAAAGTTTCCTCCAAAGTATACCTGTCTGAAACGAGCTAGTTGGTCTCTGTTCCCTTCCACAGGGGATGAAGGACAAAAGGCACCTTGAAAAGTCCTCATGTAAACATTTAAAATACATCATGAGTCATATCCTAGAAGCACCTACATTTTCCCACAGCCTATGAAAGAGTTTCTGTAATAACTAGTTCAGGTGCTGACACCTCTACTGGGTCAGATGAAGCCTTCCTCTGTGCTCTAAGTTACTCATAGGCAACAATCAGAACAGAAGGCGGTTTGACCCTGTCCTCAGCCAACTTTTCTTACACGGTGGCCCTATATATAACACAGTCCATAGTTGCAGGCCACTCACAAACCAATGGGCATGTTTCACTGGTTTTAACAAAAACAAAACAAAACCCAACCAACCAAACAAACAAACAAAAAACCACAAGACCAGAATCTGTATGTTTCATGTACTTTTGTCACACTTCAAAATTCCTACTTTTCCTAGAGGTGGAATGCTTGAAGAGGGAAACTGCAGCTACTCCAGATTAGAGTGAACTGGGACTGACTGGCTTGCACCTGTGTTGGTAAACTTCCCTGGCCTACAATGAAGAGAGGCAGCATGCAGGCTGTCACTGGAAATGGCCCCTGCAGTATTCCAAAGCTCGGCCACTGTCTAGAGATTGTTTCAGTCAATGATGTTTGACAGTGTGCACCAAAAGCATGCCTGGGACTGCTCCAGTACTTTAACAGTATAGGTAACTGATTTCTCTTAAGTATAATATCACTTAGCATGTGAATACTGCATGTGAATACAGGGTCACTCTCCCAAAGGACAGCAAGGCACCTGTGAAATGGCAGGGTGTGAAATGGCAGTACAGCACCGCATTACTGAACAATACCAGGATGCAGCCCTTCCACAGCTGACGTGCTAGGTCGTGGTTACAACAAAATCTACCTTCCCTTTGTTCCAAGGCAGGATTGCTGGACCACTCGATACATTTAAATGAAGATTTAACATCTCTCTCACAGTTCTGTTAGATCTATATTTAGCCTTTGAATGTAACATACCTAAGAGGACATTACAGGATTTACAGCAGACCTTCCTTTAGGTTGCCTGGCATGGTTTTCATCCTCACTGGAACTTTGAAGACTTGATTCTTTTGTAGAATTCCCACAAGCAGTTATAAAATGCATTCTCATGCTAAAACAGTTTTTTTCAATGGTTTATGGATTTCCTCTTGATGAGGAGTTGTGTTGAGTGGAGCAATAACAAGAACGAAACTATCTCAGGTAATTTGCATCTCACTTAGCTGCCCAGACAATCAAAACACTAATTAGAATCTCTTGACAGGTAATTCACAGTCTATATTGTAATAAACTCTCGTCTAGGTAAGAATTTTGTTTTTATAATACAAGTCATACCGATTTTAGTAAATTCAATAGCAGTGCCATAGAGAATTAAATCTGTGCAGAATAAAAAAAGAATAAACAAAGTACATTTTGGAATGAACTTTTTTAAACTTAGTATTCTAAAGCCTTTTGCAAAATGTAACCCATTTATCAATTATATGCTTGTGAGACTTCGATTTATCATAATTTTTTTTTTCATCCAAAATCTCAGAGGAATTACTAATTTGAGTTCACGGATTTATCTATGGAAGCATCACAGGACTCTTCTGTGACCTTCAGTACAGTACTAAAAAGCATACAAAAGTATAAACTATTATTTGCTAGAAGAGTAAATATACATCAAACTTTCTCCAAGATTTTAAATGTACCTTTGCACCTTTCTCAGAGTAATAATTAAATTGTACTGCTCAGGATAATGCGAAGAGATTGGTGTTGCATGAAATGTACCTTCCTCTTAACTGTGTCATGCTTTGGGCACAAGCAGGAGCCCAACAGCCGCCATTCTCTTCAAGGGTGATACTGTGGCCATGTATAGAGGTCAGAGACCTTTCATACTGGCTGCATCTATAGTGTTAACTGAAGTCTAAGACAGCTTCAGTACACTAACTCCTTAACAAGTCCATTTTTTACCCAGGTTACTGTCTACACTGCTTAGGAGAAGCCAACATTGGGATATCTGCAGGCATCCAGAGGTCTAGCATGCCTGAAAGTCAAAGGAAGCTGTTGTTGGAGGTGGAGGGGTAAAGAGTGAGGTAGCAAACTGGAATCTGACCAAGCAGTCTGGAAAGACAGGG